ATGCTTGTTTTCCAATTAATAATATATTATTTGTATTGTGATTCAAAATGTTACATGCTGAAAAAGCGAAATAAAATATATTTAAACTAATCCTAATTCTTTGCTAAAATTTAAGATTTAAAGCAGAATTTTTTTTTATTCAAAAAAAAACTTTTAGAAACATATATTACGAATTAGAAAATAGCCATTACCAATTTATGATGCTACATTTGAAATGGGTATTGTAAAGTACAACTGAATCTTTAATTCTGACCCCTTTATTTCTGTATTGCCTGTTACGGAGTCTGGTCTTTTCGTGCACATTTTTTGGTAAATTATGTAGATAAAACAGTTGGTACACTATTCATAATTGTGAAAAGATTAATTTCATTCCTAAATGATACGCGTTGTTGTAAATATTCGCATTCTTTCATGTTGAAGATAAATTGACCCGTGTCACGACAAAACCAACATAACGGGTTTGCGACCAGCATGGATCCAGACCAGCCTGCGCATCCGCGCAGTCTGATCAGGATCCATGCTGTTCGCTATCAGTTCCTTTACTTGTTATAGGGCCTGTAAGCGAATAGCATGGATTCTGATCAGACTGCGCGGATGCGCAGGCTGGTCTGGATCCATGCTGGTCGCAAACCCATTATGTTGGTTTTGTCGTGACACGGCTCAATTGAATTGTTCTATTTTTTACACAACACATTTTACCAAAGGTTGCAATGTCAGTGGTTCTACTCAGGTTGAAATAATTGTAATTATTGAGTGCCTTACACACAACATGTATATTTATCACAACCTCTGACAACAGTTTTCTGCGTCAAAACACTCGCTTCTTTGTCTTTAGCTCAGTACTAGTGTTACTTTCGGTCGCGAGTTCGAATCCATGCACTCACCCCGGGATTTTTACGGATGAATTTGTATATTTCTGTTATGAAATAAAAGGTTCGTGAGAAAATACATGTACAGAGGGGAACTTGCAGTCTTTCACCACCAGTAAAGCTGAAAAGTAGCCATTTAACATTAATTTTACATTGTCGAAGTGACTTAAAATCCTGGAAACAAAGTGATCCCTCGGAAGCATTAATCACAACAAAATAACATAAAAACTGCAGACTCGGTTTGATTGAGTCTGTAAACCAAAACAAAGAAATAATATCAAACATAATTTCCATTGGCATTGCTTCCTTATTCATCGTACATTTGACCAATTACTGTATATCTGAGAAAATGTAGACTTACTTTTATAAATACTGCACTCTCCTACTTGATTTACAAAACGAAGCTCAATATTTTCACCCATAGCAGCCAACAAAGGTTTTATTCGATCAAAAACTGCACTAGGGTCATTTTCGACTAACTGAATCATTCTATCGAAACATTCGTCTTCTTTCTCTGGTGCAAGTTTCCCAGCAGCACATTTCAGCCCGTCAAATAGAAGGCTTAAATAAATAATTTCAACTTATTATTTCACATGTTTAAATGCTATAACAAAATATTACAAAACTTGAAAAACTGTACTGGAATAAGCATTTCTTTTAAGATGATTTTGAAGCTATGGTGTATTGTTTAAATCAAACAAGTCAGTGCCTTGAAACTGTTTTTATGGACTAAAAATAAATCATAAAAATGTGTGACCAATAATATCTCATTATATTTTCAATCAAATCATAAAATCCTTTAAAAATTCGTAAAAAGAAAAAAAAGAAAAATGAATGAATAAAAGAAAGAAAGAAAGAAAGAAAGAAAGAAAGAAAGAAAGAAAGAAAAAAAGAAAGAAAGAAAGAAAAAAGAAAAAGAAAGAAAGAAAGAAAGAAAAAGAAAGAAAGAAAGAAAGAAAGAAAGAAAGAAAGAAAGAAAGAAAGAAAGAAAGAAAGAAAGAAAGAAAGAAAGAAAGAAAGAAAAAAGAAAGAAAGAAAGAAAGAAAAGAAAAAAAAAAAAAAAAGAAAGAAAAAAAGAAAGAAAGAAAGAAAGAAAGAAAGAAAGAAAGAAAGAAAGAAAGAAAGAAAGAAAGAAAGAAAGAAAGAAAGAAAGAAAGAAAGAAAGAAAGAAAGGTAGCTGAAAATGAAGTAGGGAGAGAGGCAACTTTATGCAAAATCATTATAAGAATAATAAAACATGATAATATGTATTATATGATAAATTTAATAAATTTACACTAACCTACAAAACGGTTGAAGTTCAGTGGCCGACACTGAAGCTATAAATGTCTGGCCGCAGTCGGCCAGGTTGGCAACTACTGTACTGAGAATGACGTCTGCCTTTGCACAATTATCTAAATCTGAAATATAAAACAAATACAGAAATGTTAATAATTAAGCCGTGTCATGACAAAACCAACATAATGGGTTTGCAACCAGCATGGCTCTAGACCAGCCTGCGCAACCGAGCAGTCTGATCAAGATCCATGCTGTTCGCTTACCAATTCTATTACAAGTAGAGAAACTGAAAGCCCTGTCAGACTTCGCGGATGCGCGGGCTGGTCTTCATCCTTGCTGGTCGCAAAGGCATTACATTTTTTGTCATGACACGGCTCATAATCATAAAAATGCTAAAATCATTTTAAAGCTGCTTGCCTACAGATGAAAATGGCTGATTTTTTATCATTCTACTGCGTGACTAACGTAGTAAAGGCAATTTTCGCACTGTTTTACTATAATGTTCAGGATTATAACCTTATATTTGAAGTAACGAGCCACCAAACAAGCAAAGAAATTAATTAACCGGCACAACATTAGAAAAACCTGAAAACAACAACACACCAGCAGTATCCATGTAAAATTAAACATGAAACCTGCAAAGTGGGACTGAAATTATTATTTCTCTACCATGTTATTAAAGGACTTCTTGTATTTTGTTCTGCATAGTTTGACAGATAATAAATGAGCCGCGCCACAACAAAACCAACATAGTGGGTTTGCGACCAGCATGGATCCATGCTGTTCGCCATCAGCTTCTCTACTTGTAATAGATTTTTGGAAGCGAACAGCATGGATCCTGATCAGACTGCGCGGATGAATCTGGATCCATGCTGGTCGCAAACGCACTATGTTGGTTTTGTCGTGATGCGGCTCAAATATAGATTAATCGTATCTGATACATCTTTTGTTCACCATATTTCAATGAATCAGATATTTCTAAATGGTCACTTATATTAGCTTAACTAACTTAATGTGACTTCACTGCAGTTTTGCAGTTACTATTTTTTCAAGACCAATGTTTAATTTGGTTTTTCGTCTAGACAAGTAACTATTGTGCAAAAATTATTCAAGATAATTCGCTCACTGCTATTTTGCATACTTATAATAAAAATTCTCATTGTGAAAAAATGAAAAAAGTGTCCCCCAAAGCTTTTCAATCTCCCCCTTTTTCCCGCTGTAAAAATTTTTTAAACAAGTTTTTTCTAAGGAATTAAAATATCAATTTTTAGTGCAAAAAATCGTCACATTAAAAGAACCCCCAAAAAGTCCTAACTGTTTTAAAGGAAAAAAAATGCGGAACGTTTAAAAAAAATTTTAAAATATTTCGTGAGAATGTAACCCGGCTTTCCCGAAAGAAAAGGGATAGTTTGTTTTTCCCGGTTTTTAGAGTTTAAAAAACGTGGTTTTATACTGCAACTAGGAGGCACCTTGCTCTGGTGACTTAATGCCAGAGGCTATACATACCTTGTGCGGAAACACTCGTACCAAGTAACAACGCCCCTATTAACAACACATTCGCCCTCATGGCTTAGTTTATCAGTCAAAGTTTTCTGAAATAAAAGATATATATCGTTACAGACAATTATATAGAGGATATTGAATGAGTGTAGGTTCAATACTGAATTTATTGAACGAGTTGAATAAAATAATATTATTCGAGCCTCTCAATGAATTCAGTGATGAACCTACACGGATATAATATCCTATTTATCACATACCCAAAGAAAAAAGACTGTTTAAACTGCAAAATAATCATTTTGATTGACGCGCCTATAGTGCACGGCTAACATCACGTCACGTCAAAATGTACGACCATCGTGCAATACCATTTTTACGAAGTCGCACGGGTATGTGATAAATAGAGGATACTGAATGAGTGTAAGTTCAATACTGAATTTATTGCACGAGTTGAATAAAATTATATTACGCGAGCCTCTGGCGAGCATAATATTATTTTATTCAACGAGTGCAATAAATTCAGTAATGAACTCACACGAATTTAATATTCTATTTATCACATATCCAAAATAAAGACCGTTTAAAGTGAAATAAGAGTCATTTTCACTGACGCGCCTATAGTATAACGCTAACATTCAGCGCGTCTTTTCACTATGTTTGTATAACGCTAATGACGTCACGTCAAAATATATGCACGGCTGTGCAATACCATTTTAACGGAGTCGCAAAATCGGCACGGGTGTGTGATAAAACTTATTATAATCGATTTTTCAAATAGCACTTGTCAATTTTGTAAACCCAGACCCAACTCCTCCGAAAGGGGGAACGCGGGATTAGTAGTTAGGAAATTGGCTAAATTTTACCCTCCGCCCGTTTTTTGTTTTTGTTGTTTTTTTTTGTTGTTATTTTTTTCGCACTGCCCTGACAATGTTGCAGTATTTATTTGATGGCATCAAATAGTGTATCTCTGTATTTTAGTGCGGAAACCATCTGGTGAGTATCGTTCGTCTGACTGACCTTGTGAAGTTTATTTGAAGTTTTCGAAAACAAACGAAATATTCTTCAAAATAGGAGGTTTGAGTCATTGACCCTTGTAAAGTTAACATAAAGCATCAAAGGCGCATGATGAATATATTATAATATAAATGAACCGCGCCATGACAAAACCAACATAGTGCGTTTGCGACCAGCATGGATCCAGACCAGCCTGTGCATCCGCGCAGTCTGATCAGGATCCATGCTGTTCGCTATCAGTTTCTCTACTAGTTTTAGGGTTTGTAAGCGAACAGCATGGATCCTGATCAGACTTCGCGGATGCGCAGGCTGGTCTGGATCCATGCTGGTCGCAAACGCACTATGTTTGTTTTGTTATGACGCGGCTCAAATGTTGGTGTTACATAAAGTATTTTATACATGTGCATTGCAGCGATTAAATGAGAACTTAAATCAATATTATCGTATGTTAAAAGATATATTTTAGAGAGAAGCTATTATTTTGCGTTGAATAGCATTAAAAAAATATTTACATTATATTCTGTCTCATTGAAATATGACTTGTTTAAATAAATAATGAAATTCAAAAGGTAAAACATTCTTTGTCCAACTTTAATATCTTCCTAGTTCAATGTCATGTTTTCTGTTTTTAGACATGAATAACTTAAGATTTATTTCTTTTAAAGGACGACAAAGTCTGCATAACAAATTCAAGATACCTAATTTATTCAAATCCGTTAGCACTAGAAAAAGAACCTTTCAAAAGATCAAATTCATATAGAAAAAGTAAACTTTTATATTGTTATTTTCATGGGTATCCTACACAAGTACGTGTTTAAGGCTTGGGCGTGGTTAATGGCCTCTTTAATATTAGATACTATTGTTTTAAATGTTTATACTATTTTAAATTGTAAAAATTCTTTAACAGATAGGTCACTTGCTGTTATATCAGTTTATTGTAGAGGGGGTAAAGCATCTGATTTCGGATTAGAAGATGGTGGGTTCAAATCTCACCGTAGGTCAGATTCTAAATCCAATGTTATAATGCACATTTAATGATATCGACATTCACATGTCTTATTAATCAATCAATCAATCAATCAATCAATCAATCAATCAATCAATAAACTGGTAACGACATTCAGAATTCTTATGAACAATTAATTAATTAATAAATGTTAATTAATTAATTAATTAAATAATTATTTATCTATTTATTTACTTATAATCAATAAATAAATAAAGCCCTACCGGTGTAAACCACAGCCCCTGTAAAACCACCTTTATTATACCAAACAAAAACGACACTTTTGTCTTAAATAGATTAATAATATTTAATTGCTCTTTGAATATAATTTATTAACATTATTTCCACAAAACAACATTCTAACAAAGGCCAAATGGGTTGAACAACAAGTTCTAGCAACATTTGTAACTGCCCTTCCCTTTGTCTCCAATAAGATCATATCTGTGCTTATTTACCATTTTTAGAGACAACCCCTCAACAACGACCATGCTTTTAATATGTTTTCATTAAAATAGTCTGTACACAGCGGTTTGACTGTAATAACAATTTGCTTATCATGCTTTTGTAGGACAGATTGGTATTACGGCTTCTACAACATTAACTCGCAAAAGGGGCATCCGTTAAAGAGTGATTAAGGTAAAATAGTTTAAATTTTGGAGAAAAACTTTGTAAGATTTGATATGTTTCGTTATAATCCATTTCCGTAGTGTATAATTATAGCTGAATTTGTACATCATGTATTGTATATGATCTGTTATAAGATTATGTTTAAACTGAATAATTTAGTTTAAACAATATTTTATTTCTATTTTACAACATAGATATATACAGTAAGCATGTATAAATACACTGATATATTTCGTGGTTTGGAAAACAAGTCAAATGTGACTTATGTAAATTCCTTTCCACATATAATGTACTTGCAATAAAAATATGCACATATTTGGTTAGAATAATACAGAAAAGGGAAATCAGGTAAATAATTCAGACGAACTGAATTATTTAACCTCCATTGAGAAATAATTGCATTTAAGTCGTGGAGTTGAATCGTCTAGGTCCGGTTATTGATCTTTCTTTTTAATGTTAAGTCGTTTAAATTATTATTATAAAAATGTTTTTTTCTCACTAAATTTCACTTTTGTTTAGGTTAGGTTAGTTAACTTGTGTGTACGACAATGCCCCGGGCTAAATGTATACTTTGGGTTTGCCGGTGTTATCTGATAAGTATGAACATCAAAATAAAAATTATCACTTAATTTAGTGATACAAATTGTGGTGTATTGAAGCAGAACACACTTCAGATTCAAGCTAATTTTCATACTTTTTTCAATGGCACTTGCAACCCACATTAATTACCGAAAAGAGGTCAAAATGTGCAAAAATAGCCCTTACTGCGTTAGTAACGCAGGAGAAATATAGTTATAAATACAGAAAAAATCAGACGTTATTCGATTATTACATGAATAATAGGTAAAGGTCTTGTTTATTATTGTGCCATGTCTACTGAAATGGCCAGCTATTTCTGACTTATGACACACCTCCTTTTGCTTGCATAACATGTACCACCCAACATCGGTAATCATTCATTTTTACTACCTCGCGGCTCACGAAGCGGCCATCTCGGAACGAGTCCCACGAGAAACATATATCCTTCAATGAATATTAACTCTTTTTTACTTTTCCTAAAATATTAGATCTTTTTTTTATCAGGTGTGGTTTTATTAAAATATTTTTGCTTATTTGGAGGCATGTAGCTTTAAATGCACCAGTCTAATGAAAACACGACCCATCCACCGTTTTGGTAGGGCGGGGATATCGGGGTAAATGAACAGAGTAAATGCTTAACGTCTGCACTCGCATTGCCGAGTCAAAGCATTTATATAATTGTGACGCCATTATTGACAGGTTTTATGTACAAATCGTACGGGCAAGCAGGCTAATAACGTGGAACCTTTTTATCCTCAATTGGTGGCAGGTGGCGACACTGGGTGAAAAATAACGGAATTGTGCGTATGTAACTAACTTTTGCAGCAAGTGGCGGAATTATGCGGACAGTGACGGAACTGGGCGGCGGTGACAGAATTCCAGTTTATATTTCATTAAATTCATTCAACATGTAACTTAAAAGTCCCTTGCATTCCAATTTATTTCTCATTAAAATTCATACAACACGTAACCTACAAGTGCCCTTGTATTCAATTAAAAACTCATACAACAACAAGTCACTTGTAATCCAGATTATATCTTATTAAAACTCATACAAAATGTAACTTACAAGTGCCTTGTATTCTCACAGCCGTTTGAATTTCACTGTGCAAGTTGAATAATTAAATAAAAGAATCTTTATTGAAATATCAAATGAAAATGATTATCTTCATCTCTCATATAATCCGGTTTTCAAAAATGTGCGTTTAACAATATTGTTAGTTTCATCGTTCAATGGAACGTAGAGGTACATGTAATTGCACGACTCGTCAAACAAGGGCGGACAGAAAGCACGAAATTAGTTTAACAAATGATCGGGAATTTGTCACCACATTAAAGAAATGACTGTATTAAATAATCTATGTATTTTCGAAGAGGAAGATTTGATAGAACGTTCGAGTTTCGGATGCGGTGCTTTGATCTTAATCGTTTGGAATTATGCCTCCAGATAAGCCAATACATTTCAAGACAATCAAACTTAGCGAAAAACACACCGATATTGTAAGAAAAGTAAAAAAGATTCACGATTATATTTTACATCTTTGGTGATAATTAATACATATTTTTGCAGTATTTATCACTATATTTCTACTAAAGAAGTAAGGGCTATATTTGCATATTTTGATCTTTTTCTTTAGTAAATTACGCGGATTGTAAGTGACGATTGCAATATGTAAATTCCTTATTTGTTTACTTCACAATATTTCATTTTTACTTCACAATATTTCATTTTTACCTAATAACAATTAGGATGAATCTGGATGTGTCCTTTATAACTGCTTGTAACGGTATTTCAATAATTAAAGTAATAAAAAGTTGCGAACAAATAATGCGGTTCTATGAAGTTCAAGACTTGACAATCCGTCTTAAGTATTGGAAGAAAGGGAATTGAACTTTCAATGAAGAACTATTTGCAGTTGTGTACTTCGACGACAAGTAATATTTACTGATGGAATGTACATAGTTTTTAACTTGATCGGGCACCTTGGGTATATAAAACATTTAGTTTCGTACCAATGAACTCAACATAATCATAATGTAACATGATCTTCAATTATTTTTTTTTTTAATCGTGAAACGGAAGTGCTATTTTTAGACATGTTCGTGACATTGAATATATATTCATGCGCATGACATAAAAAACAACAAAAGAGTATATAAAGTTCAAATACCCGTATATATTGACTACATATATTTTGATAGTTAAATCGTGACTGCGTTTAAATAGGCGGTATAGAAAACGACTGCTAGATGAATGTTAATGATTAAAAAAAGTGACGGGAATCATCCGTCCATATAGCATACCAGTTTTTTTCAAACTGTATATTCATACCTTTGTATTATATTTCAGAATATTGGGCGAAAAAAATAAAAATTCAACCCGACCCAGTTATAAATTCATATCAGTTTGAGCGAAACGTAAAAAACTCAATGCATCTTTATTTTTAAAACATTGCCCTGGTCCACAAAATTGGCCAAAATTTTTTTGTCAGACTACTTTTTAAATCATGTAATTTTAATTGGGCTGTCCCCTCTCGGGTTTTTTGGGCGGATATTAAAAGTTCATTTATATTGCATAGATACGTTTTTTTTTTTTTCCAAATAATTCCCAAAAAACTAATAAAAAAATTTTCCTGAAAAGAAAAATTTATTACCCCATTTTCACCCGAACGACTTTAACTCTTATCTTTTAAAAATTTTTTTACCCCTGCCCCTTAAAACCGACAGACCACTAGTCGGACATCCTGCCCTCTTATCATTTTCTGCACTGTCCGCTATTAAGTCAGTACATATTTGGAAATGTTCAATTATTGCCAATAAATCGTTGGATTGAAAGCTTGGCAATATTTAAAATATTCACCGTGGTAAGAGTAAAAATTACATAACCACCAAATGAAAGGGCAATGTGCGGGAAAAAAAACATTTCACAATCTATAATATGCTTTCCATGTTTCTAGCAAAATAAGTGTATGCCTATATTTACAGGTGCTTTTTATCCTCTTACGTCAAATCATAACGTAACATTCGAAACAAAAGCTATTTTTGTTTGGTTGCAATTAAGACACAAAATTAAAGTGAAATAAGTGACTTAGCATAGCTTGAGTTATTATAGCCTAAACCACGTTATTTTGATTCATTTCTACACTATATTTTAAGGTAAATTCTTAACCTTGATTTCCTGATTAGCCTTTGCCACAGTACAGCCTGACCCCGGGTTGTATACAGTTTCTATTGTTGTTGTTTGTTTGGTTGGCTGGTTTAATTGTTTTCTTTTCTTTTATTTTTTCTATTTATCTATCTTCTTCGGTGGGGGGATGCAATTTTGATATTGAAATTCCTTTTAATTTGACTGGACTGTTTCAAATTTAAAATAATTTTCATAAGTTGCTAAATATAATCTTAAACAGCAATTAAAAGGAAGATGTAGATTTAAGTCATTAAAGTTCGCCATAATTGAGAAAGCTAGGGATTACAGTAGCTGCTCTTTCGAGCCAAGTACCATTTACCCTATGAATAAGATTAGAGAATTTACCAAAGATAAAAAAAAAATATCTTGTCGATTATCTTAAATGAATAATTTCTAACATTAAATAAAATTTAATCAAGTCAAGTAAACTTTTATTTATAAGTTGGATTCATAAAACAATCAACATAAGCTCTGATGAGCTTTTTACACCGACTTTAAAAAGTCATTCTTCGACTTAATGTTAAATAACGTTAATTTAATTTAATAAATACTTAAAATTTTAATGTTAGAAAGTATTTATTTGCTATGTGCTTTGTCCTCCTTACACTTAGATCTTTCAGCCGGGGAGGTGTCTGTGTGTGCTGTAACCTATATATGAGCCGCGTCATGACAAAACCAACATAATGGGTTTGCGACCAGCATGGATCCTGACCAGCCTGCGCATCCACGCAGTCTGATCAGGATCCATGCTGTTCGCTATCAGTTTCTCTACTTGTAATAGGGTTTGTAAGCGATCAGCATGGATTTTGATCAGACTGCGCGGATGCGGAGGCTGGTATGGATCCCTGCTGGTCGCAAACGCACTATGTTGGTTTTGTCATGACGCGGCTCATATATATTCTTATACATTTTATATGCTTATATGCCATATTAGACAAAAGAACGGTGATACGATCAATGGATTACTGAAACAGTTAAATAAACGTTAATGTTCCATTTGCAGTTTAATGTTACTTTTGCACTTGCGACATAAATACGAATTATACATGCAGGTAATATTTAAATAATTTCGTATAACGGTAATATCACATTGTATAAATATGACGATTTGCATGTAGAGAAAACAAGTTAATTCAATTGATCTTGAATTGTATAAAATTACGTTTTCCAATAGCCGTACAATATGCATTAATTAACAATTCATTGTATAAATAAACAGACCTTACCTGGTTTAAAGATCAATCTCCTATCCGGCCGGTACGAAAATTAAGAAAACCACTTAAATTTAAAACTATCTAGACATATCCAACTGGACAAGAATGACAATTGATCGAAAAAGTTGACACACTTCGTTTTGAACTTAGTCCGCGTTTGTCACGGATGAATTCAAGTATGTAAATGGGCCGGTTATATTACGAGACGTAAACAGACTGTGGAAAGATTGATTTACAAATAGAGAAGTATGTCATGGTCCAATAGAATCAGTTTTTAGGTATACATATGAAACTGGTTTGCAATTTTATATCGATGTTTTATTTATTTTATATAGTAATATTTATGATTTTAATCGCAAGTATATTTTATTTTGCTTGACTTCTTTTATGCGTCGATAAGTCTCTATTATAACAGCTAATCTCTTAAAAGTCAATATTATCTATAAATTAGCCATGTCCTGATGAAAACACCTGTTGACAAGCATATTGATTTTGTCAACAAAACAACACTTGCAATACATTTTTAAATAATAAGAAAAATATAGCAATGGACGGATAAATTTATGGGGTGTATAGTTAAATTAAAAAAAAAAAGAAATTTGTATGGAGCACTTGTTGTACAAAATTAATAATCCTTCCTTTTTCAATAGAGAATCGCGATTTCAATTATTGGTAACACAATTTTGACAGGTTATATTAACTACCGCAAAGCAAAAGTTATATTGCAAAAAAACGTTTATTTGATCACAGCCATATAACATGCCAACAATTATCTATCAAGCAGAATTTCTTAATTTTAAGTCAGGAATGCAAAGCAGTCGAGTATATGGATTTTATAATACTGCGAGTTTGTAACGTCACTTTTCATTGGATAATTGTGATTCTTATATTATCAGTTATAAAGACTTTTGACAGGTTAGAATTTTATGAAACAAAACCACAAGAAAATTTCGGTGGAGACCTAGATGTTTATTCGCAGGAATCCCAAACTACCTACCAGAAGTTCGAATAACCAATTAATTACCTTCTTGTCGGTAGTTATAGGGATCCACACGAATTACCAACTGAGTCTCCTGGTCGACATGGGAAGACGGGGTGATACCATTCTTTAGAATTCAACTATTTTATCTTTTTGTGAAAAAAAATTCTGTTTTTTTGTTTGTTTGTTTGTTTTTGTTTTTTGTTTTTTTTAATGAAATACATGTTAGATTCGAATAACCGACCTTTTAGTTTGGAATTCACGCTAAATGAGGATATAGGATGCAGTCGTTTCCATGTTGAAAACACACATCTTTCTTGTTATGAATCTCTTATATTTAATCGGGAAAAGTTCTTTCTATTTCGAGTGGAAAACCTGCAATGTTCGAATTACCAACTACCTTCTGGTTTATAGTTGGGGATTCGCGCCAATAAACAACTTAGTCCGCTGGTGGACATAAGGAGACAGTGTGTTTCTATGCTGGAGAACACATCTTTCTTTTCATATTTCCGTTACGTTTATATCGGAAAAAAAACTTTTTTTAAAAGGTAAACATGCAAAGTTCGAATTACCAACTATACTTTCTGGTAAGTAGGTGGGGATTCACGCGAATAACAATTGAGCCCCTTGATCGATTTATGGTGAAGGGCGTGTTACCATGTTATAGAAAACACACTTGTTATATAACCGTAACATTTGTTAAAACTTAACAGGCAATATCAAAATATGCCAACTACCTTTCCGTATGTAGTTGGGGATTCACGCGAATAACAATCTATGTCCCCTGGTCAATGAAGAGCTCTATCTTGTCATATATGTACGAAAGACCGGTGGTGACTTCTGACTTCAGAGTTCGGATTTCAGAGTTCAGAGTTCAGACTTAGGATTTCAGACTTCAGAGTTCAGAGTTCAGACTTCGGATTTCAGACTTCAGAGTTCAGAGTTCAGACTTCGGATTTCAGACTTCGGATTTCAGACTTCAGATTTCAGAGTTCAGAGTTCGGATTTCAGACTTCAGAGTTCAGACTTCGGAGTTCGGATTTCAGACTTCAGAGTTCAGAGTTCAGACTTCGGAGTTCGGATTTCAGACTTCAGACTTCAGATTTCAGAGTTCAGACTTTAGACATTATAAAAAGCCACGTCATTACACGTCATTTCCGCACTTTCAGTTCAGTGATTACTACACCATGAAACCAAGGGCAATGTATTCTTGGATGTTATTGGTAAGTTATATATTAGTACATTGTCTTTGTATTTGGCAAATTATATTTGTATGTTGAGTTTATTTTAAAACAGTGTTATTCTAGAATGTAATAAATTTCTCAAAATTAGAATTACTGTTTGTTGATGATAAAGTTGGTAAAATGTTATCAACAACTAAGCCTCGAGGCGAGAAACCAGTAATCAGACGACTTGATATAATACACTAACTTCCCTGCAAAGAGAAAACAATGGGATATATTGTGTGTATTTCTTTATTTTTTATTTTTTTGTAATATTTTACTATGGACGACAACAACCATGTTCTCAAGTCATTTTTATTATCTCCTTTCGGCATCGATTTTAAGGTCAAAATAAAAAACTTCAAAGCAAGTGTCCTTCTTAAAATGATGACCTAATGATAATTGGTTCTGTCGATGAATTGGTCCCTTTTTAGGACTGAAATGGAAAATCGATGTTTGACAAAGTTTCTTTATTTTGAGTCATATCAACATCTTCCATCTTTGCATTGAGAATCTAACTATGTCTGTTCGAATTGTACAATCAGTACTTGCTGTGTTGCCAGTTTGACAAGCACAAGAACTAGTAATTTACAAGTGAAGTTGGATTCTAATAGGGCAGCATTACTTTCTGTCTATTGATATCAAAGTACAAGATAATTTAGGCTACACTTTTGGTCATTCATGAATAAGAATAAGCTTTATAACGACAAATTAAAACGACATCTGTTAAAGCGCAATGAGCTTATTTAGAAGATGTCCAGAGTCTCAAATTTAAACGATTAAAGTGGCCATTTTAACAAAAATATCATGAAACTAGTCGATGTTTGGTGTATATAAGACATTGTGAGCGCCTTAAAATTTCTATGCGATACAAGTACGTAGAAAAACTGTTTCCTTCGTTTCCGTAGATAGCGGGACCAGGAAAGTACAGAGACGGAAAGGCCAAAGCATCTACTTTGTCCGCCAATAACTCCAGATGTTCCTAGTCCTGACTTTATCTGGCACATCGACGGATATGTAAAATAAACCCTTCGATTTGCATCACGGAACAGTAGACGGATTTAGTTAGAAGATAATATCGGCTGAGTTTGGGTCCAACGCAATACGCGATCCGAAAAAATAACTAGCTCGATATTTTCTTAAAACAGTGTAAAGGAAAGTTGGTGCTTGCAGAGTTCCAGCAGTGAATACGCATGATCTGGTTACAAAAAATAGAATAATTCTGACAGTTGCCAATATATTTCGTATTGCACACACCATGATTGATTCATTCCAGCTTGAAAAAGCTTCATTCAAGGTAAAAGTACCTTAAATCAAGAATAGAATCATGTGGAGCATGCTTAGATGTCAGTGCATGGACTTTTGGATAAGTTTTTTCTAAAAGACTTGCGAGACACAGATATCTATTGCGATGGTATATGTTCCAAAGACACATGTTTAATGTATTGTTTTCACAACCTGTTATACGAAGTGAATTATTAAATTTACGAATATGAGATGGAATTCACATGATATTTTCTAATGGGAAACAGATGGACCACGAGGTAAACCTATATCATGTATACATTACCTGAACTATATATAACACTAAGAATTATAGCACAACGTTAACAAAGAAGAAGTGATGTATGTACGGAAATATAGTCGAAACCACCTAACCTTGAAGGCTGTTTTCCTGAATTATGCCGATGTTCAAATGTTGTTAACCGACAACGCCGACCACAGCAGATGAATCATTTGATCTATATCTACGAAATAATTTCGCAGATTCGAAATTATCTATAAAAACGAAATAAAATTGACTTGACTAAATGACCTCATTCTGAGCCCACATTTTTAAACTTGACCTGAAGATCATTTAGATACAGTAGTAAACATAGAGGATATTCACATGAGTGTCTTTTCATACTTGAATTTATTAAATGAGTTTGATAAAATGATGGATTACGGGCTCGGTCGAGCATGTTATCGTCAATGCAAGTTTAATAAGTTCAATGTTAAAAGACACGAATGTAATATTCATTTAATATCACATGTTAATTTTAAAGGGGATGTCTTCCAGAATATGAAAATTTTTCTTTTCTTCGGGAAATTTATTTCTGGACACACTGCAGATCGTAAGAACAAACTATGAAGAAAACTGAATTTAATAAATAAAAGAGTTGTCACCAGCATGGCTCTAAAACTTCACGCATAAAGTTTCAACTCCTGACGCCTCGACATACTACGTCACAATAACTGTTGATTAAACGGAACTAAATTCAATTTCTATACAAATCAACTTACACGTAAGCGCTACGCTATAGATTTATAGATGTTTTGTTAATGCAGTCCAAATATGTAGTTTATCATTGTATGACACTTTGCTACTTAATAATGTTAACTTTGAATGATTACGTGATGTTTAATTATATTTGAATGTATGTATTTTGTGACCATGTGCATTTTGTACACGTGCTTATATTAATAAACTATCTATCTATCTATATATGTAAAGGTGTAATAAAATATAATTTGTAATGTGTTTACTTAGTTCATTCGCTTGACAGTAACTTACTTACATATCCCTCTTCATAAATAGTACAAGAAATTTCATATACAAAAAATTGTTTTCAAAATTCATTTTTCAGCCATCCGGTAGACAACACCTTTAAGTTTGATATTGAACTACTGAGCATTTGTCATTTCTGGTCCTAAATTAATGCTGTGAATTCAGCGAACGTCCGCACACATAAAGATGAAGTCGACGCCAAAAACGATATTTACTCAAGTGTTTAAATAGAAAAACATGGTTAGCTTCACTCCCGCGACATCAAACGTGATAGACAAGGTTATTAACATTGTTGCAATAATTAGATTCTTGAGGATTTAAAAAACGTCAAAATTAACAAACTGTTTGATTCACCTTAGTTGACATGTCAAAGCAAAACATTGTTGGTTAGCAAATTGTCACTTTTTGGAAAAAAAAATTAATTACGTGTATCTATATTTTACAGCGGGCAAAAATGAACTTTTGGCTACTAAAACAAAATTTTTCAAAATATTTTTTTCAAAAATGAAATAAGATCAAAATGACTCTTTGACCTAGTTCTAGTTTTTATACCGCCTCCGTGGTCAAGAGGTTAAGGTTGACTTGTAT